CTAACATGATGCTAACACCCTCCTAACATGATGCTAACACTCTCCTAACATGATGCTAACACCCTCCTAACATGATGCTGACACCCTCCTAACATGATGCTAACACTCTCCTAACATGATGCTGACACCCTTCTAACATGATGCTAACACTCTTCTAACATGATGCTAACACCCTCCTAACATGATGCTAACACTCTCCTAACATGATGCTAAGACCCTCCTAACATGATGCTAACACTCTCCTAACATGATGTTAACACTCTCCTAACATGATGCTAACACTCTTCTAACATGATGCTAACACTCTCCTAACACCCTCCTAACATGATGCTAACACTCTCCTAACATGATGCTAAGACCCTCCTAACATGATGCTAACACTCTCCTAACATGATGCTAACACTCTCCTAACATGATGTTAGCACCCTCCTAACATGATGCTAACACTCTCCTAACATGATGCTAACACCCTCCTAACATGATGCTAACACTCTCCTAACATGATGCTAACACCCTCCTAACATGATGCTAACACTCTCCTAACATGATGCTAACACCCTCCTAACATGATGTTAACACTCTCCTAACATGATGCTAACACTCTCCTAACATGATGCTAACACTCTCCTAACATGATGCTAACACCCTCCTAACATGATGTTAACATCTTCCTAACATGATGTTAACTTAATAACATGATGTTAATAATAACATGATGCTAACATACCACTAACAAAGACTTCTTCCACTAGTGGGTAGGCAGAACCAACATAAACAACTTGGTTGGTCACAGACCATCTCAGGAGTATCGAGCCTTCACTACTCGTGGCTCTGAATGACCCACACGGGTTTAGTGCTGCATGAAATATAATCCAACAATCTATTTCGCTGTGGGAACGTTTATCTACCATGAAGGTTAATATATATGTTAATAATGTAGTGGGAGGATGGTGGTTGGGGTGGTGGTGGTGGTGGTAGTGGTTGAGGTGGTAGTAGAGGTGGTTGGGATGGTGGTGGTGGTAGATAGGGTGGTAATCATGTTGGTAGTGGTGGTTGTGTGGTGGGGATGCTTGTGGTAGTGGTGCAGGTGAGGGTGTGGTGGTTATAGTGGTTAGGGTGATAGTAGTTGTGGTGATAATGATAGTTGTGGTGATAGTGGTAGTTGTGGTATTAATGATAGTTGTGGTGATAGTGGTAGTTGTGGTGATAATGATAGTTGTGGTGATAGTGGTAGTTGTGGTGATAATGATAGTTGTGGTGATAGTGATAGTTGTGGTGATAGTGGTGGTGGTAGCGTCTCTGGTAGGTAGTGCTCTTAATGGCTTGATAGCGAGATTATCCTTCACCAGAGGTAATGCTGGTAATTATCCAGGTCTTAGTGGTGGTGGTGGTGGTGGTAGTTGTGGTGATGGTGGTAGTGGTGGTGGTGGTAGTGGTGTGGATGGTAGTGGTGATGGTAGTGATGGTGGTGGGGATGGTAGTGGTGGGGATGGTAGTGGTGGTGGGGATGGGTGTGATGGTAGTGGTGAAAAAAGGTGGTTAGTCCCCCAGGCTTGAGGGACTGACTACCTGGCATGTAAACCGAGGGGTCTGATGGCCTCAAAGATACTATTTCCACTGTCTCTAATATTATGTTCTCCCGTATTTGACTGGTGAAGCCTGCTGTGTAGGCGAGACGTTTCATCAATAAAAATACTCACGAGCTGTACATAAGTGTTACTCGTCAACTTATCAGTATTGTATACTATAAATAATTTAACACCAGCAGTCAAGTATACTTTGTTACTTGTACTGTGTATTGATGTCAGTTCTCGGTGCGTAAACAGGCAATATGGAGGTGCAGAGCGAGGGTTAGCTCGTCCTGTTATGCAGTAATTGCAAACAAGCGATACAAGATGCAAAACAATCAAGAGGGGAATTGAATGATAGCTGAAGGTCTTTCGTGTTGTAATCAACACACCTTCAGAAGCTTGCAATGTTGCAGAAATGAGTAGGAAGTCCAGGTAGATTTGTTCAGGGGAACGAACTTATCTACCTGGACTTCCTACTCATTTCTGCAACATTGCAAGATTCTGAAGATGTGTTGATTGCAACACGAAAGGACTAGAGGGATCATTCAACTCCCCCTGTGGTTGTTTCCCATTTCGTTCTGTGTAGAACTCTTGTCAGATCAGTACCAGGCTTACGTAGAGCGATGAAAACTTCTTCCGTACCTTCATTATAGTCTGTGGTACATTGTTTTCACTATGTATACACAGAGTTACACATCAAGAGATATACACCTCTCAGTGCGTATACCTTATGTAGATACGGAGGTGTAGGGAGCGGTTATAAACGCAAGTGGTTGTATGATGCTAATAAACGGAAGTCTATAAGTGTGTGGCAGACAGTGTTTGCTTCACTATCTCCTTCACCAGTGCTTGGGGAATGGACTCTCAGGAGAGGTAAAAGCCTCAGGCAGCTCTTGCAGGAAGCGCTGCAGGAGGTCGTATGGGGACGAGTGTTAGGGATAGAAATAGCGAGAGGAAACTGCGTCATATTCCTTCGATCAAGAGCCCTTAGTCAGCATCAAGGTACCCCTGCCGGAGGGTTCTCATCCCTCAGAATTGTTCAGAGTTGTTCGCGCAGAAAGAGAAGTTACGAATCATCATCCGGCATTCGATTTCAGCATTGCGTTTCACTTCTTTTTCTTGGAGTTCCTTGAGTCTGGTGAAGAGCTCCTGAATCATTCAACTGGAACTAACCTTCCCCTCCTTCAATCATATACTGGTGAAGGGATCCTAATTCAACTGAAACTAACTTTCCTTCATCATATCTGATTACCTCCCATTCCCCATGCGCTTTCCGGCTTTTACGAGCTTCAGTGTAATAATAATAATAATAATAATAATAATAATAATAATAATAATAATATAACTTCTATAACGTGTTCCATGTTATCTGTAAAAGCGAGCATCAGTCTGTGTGGTGTCAGTGAACCAGTGTGGTGAGGTCTCTGACTCTGTATTAGGAAGGTTCATCACATATTCACAATTAATCCAAAATTGAATATGAATGTTAGACGACGTTTCGGTCCATCTCGAATCATTATTAAGGACGTACCTAAATAACAAAAAAGGCACAATATCGCAACTGGAACGATACACAAGTAACTCTCACATAGAAGAGAGGAGCTTACGACGACGTTTCGATCCGACTTGTACCATTTACAAAGTCGTAAGCTCCTCTCTTCTATGTGCGGGTTATTTGTGTATTGTGTAAGGACGTACCAAAATGACATCTCATTTTCTTCTCCTTTGTGTATGTTCATGAGTTGTTGCAGCCACGCAGGGGTTCAAGAGCTTTACCCCAACTACAAATTAACAAAAATCTATAATAATTCCATGATCTTCATCAGACAGGCTGGAGATAATTCTGGAAATGGTCTATTACTCTACCTTTGATATACCTTCGATGAGTTTCGAGAGGTTTTTCCTACTCCCGGAGCCCAGCCCTGGGCCAGGCGTGTGTCTGATGTCAAAAAGGCTGTTGCTGCTGGCGGCCCGCTGGTCCACATATCCACCACAGACTGGTTGATCTGGAACTTGGTATGATTTGATATTTAATACCGAGAAATGTGAAGCTAGACTTATGTGTCTCATGGCGAGACGTTTCCCCATTAAAATATCCTCATACTGCGCATGTGTCTTTTTTCATGAGGTAAATATGTCTTATTTCACAAGGTAAATATGTGTCTTATTTCACAAGGTAAATATGTGTCTTATTTCACAAGGTAAATATGTGTCTTATTTCACAAGGTAAATATGTGTCTTATTTCACAAGGTAAATATGTGTCTTATTTAACAAGGTAAATATGTGTCTTATTTAACAAGGTAAATATGTGTTTTATTTCACAAGGTAAATATGTGTTTTATTTCACAAGGTAAATATGTGTCTTATTTCACAAGGTAAATATGTGTTTTATTTCACAAGGTAAATATGTGTTTTATTTCACAAGGTAAATATGTGTCATATTTCACAAGGTAAATATGTGTCTTATTTCACAAGATAAATATGTGTCGTATTTCACAAGGTAAATATGTGTCTTATTTCACAAGATAAATATGTGTCGTATTTCACAAGGTAAATATGTGTCATATTTCACAAGGTAAATACGTCGTATTTCGCAAGATAAATATTTGCCTTCAGCTGGCGTGATGGTGAATAATGTGTCCGGTGTGAATATAATATGATATACAATATCGACAGGTTGTTAAGTAAGACATATGTGCAACAGTTAAGTGTCTTTATTCCGAAAGGTTTTACCTACACATTAGCCTTCAACAGTTGAATAGAGAGGTTACAACATGGTATCAGCAGAAGCAGTGGAGAGGTGAAGGTGATGTGATGAGTGCATCACCCGGGTAGTTCGAGGTGGTCACTGGTAATGAACCTTGGTGATAGATACCGACCACTTGGTTAAGAAAGGCTCTTCAGCAAATACTAGGTCATATTTATTAGAAAATATTATCGGTCCTGGGATCTTGATCACTTCTAACATACGGCCCCTCAAGGAAAGTTCCTTGATGTTGGTGAGGGGCTCTTGATTTAGGGAATTGGATCTGTGCTCCAGTTCCCCGAATTAAGCCTGAATGCCTTCCACATATCCCCCCCCCAGGCGCTGTATAATCCTCCGGGTTTAGCGCTTCCCCCTTGATTATAATAATAATTCTAACATACGGAAGTGATCAAGGTCCCAGGATCGAGAGTTTTCTAATATGTCTTAGTAGGTAGGTGTAATGTTTGTCAGGAACCAGGACAAGTAATTCCTAACGCGGGTCTTAGTCATATAATGACCCGCAGCTGGAAAGTTTGGTCATCTGACCGAGGCCTTCCGCTGGCTTATCGGTTAGCATTATAACTGTTAGTATGATGTAGTATTTGCTCAATCGTTTTTCTAAACCGAGGTGGTCAGTCCCTCAGCGTGAGAATGTGTTTAACGAGTGTTGTGTGTGTCACAGATCCACCGGTGGCCACCATTGAGCTGGGTCGTGGGGTGTCCTCCGTGGTCAAGGAAGGTCAAGATGTGTACTTCAACTGTAATGTAGATTCCAATCCTCCCACCTACAAGATCTCCTGGTATCGTGACGTGAGTATTCGAATCTCTGTTTTTTTCCGGTTGCTGGTGGAGTTTAGAAGCTTATGTTTTTCTCTTCTTTTTTTTTAGGATTTTTACAATTGGAGTTTGGGAGTTTATGGTTTCTCTTCTCATTTGTTTTGTTATGATAAGTTGAGATGAAGTGTTTGTTTTTTTTTCTTTCTGTTTTCATTTTATTCTCTTTACAAGTAGAAATTTTTGGAGTCTGCGTTTTTCTCTTCTGTTTCTTATATTCTTCACACACCCCCCCCCCCCACACACACACACACACACACACACACACCACACACTCACACACACACACACACACACACACACACACACACACACACACACACTCACCCCACACATACCACACACACACACCACACACACACATACACACACACACACACACACACACACACACACACACACAGCCTTACAGCAGTGCCTGTCTCTTCTCACACACTATATTCACTTCATCTAAATATTATAAAAGACATTTTTTTTATTTAATGCGCTTAATTCTCTCAAGATGAGATGAGATGCTTTTAGCATAAATTGTTTGTGTTAATAAAAGAGAGTTGTCTCTGGTGTAATGTTCCCTCAGCAACGACACGGGACGTTGTAGAAGCCTTTCCTTGTTCTCTGTCTTTGTATTCTTCCTGGAGACTCTCCAAGAGAGAAAGATCAGCTTGATGCTCACCTTGACGTCAAGGTAACCGCTGATAATTTCATATAAAAAGCTTAAAGTGTGTGTTAGGGAGAGATGAATATTGTTGTGTTGACTACCTTCCTGTTGAGTGCCTTCCTGTTGTGTTGAGTGCCTTCCTGTTGTGTTGAGTGCCTTCCTGTTGTGTTGAGTGACTTCGTGTTGTGTTGAGTCCTTCCTGTTGTGTTGAGTGCCTCGTGTTGTGTTGAGTGCCTTCCTGTTGTGTTGAGTGACTTCGTGTTGTGTTGAGTACCTTCCTGTTGTGTTGAGTGCCTTCGTGTTGTGTTGAGTGCCTTCCTGTTGTGTTGAGTGACTTCGTGTTGTGTTGAGTGCTTCGTGTTGTGTTTAGTGCTTCGTGTTGTGTTGAGTGCCTTCCTGTTGTGTTGAGTGACTTCGTGTTGTGTTGAGTGCCTTCTGTTGGTTGAGTGCCTCTGTTGTGTTGAGTGCCTTCCTGTTGTGTTGAGTGACTTCGTGTTGTGTTGAGTGACTTCGTGTTGTGTTGAGTGACTTCGTGTTGTGTTGAGTGACTTCGTGTGTGTTGAGTGACTTCGTGTTGTGTTGAGTGACTTCGTGTTGTGTTGAGTACCTTCTTGTTGTGTTGAGTGACTTCGTGCTGTGTTGAGTGACTTCGTGTTGTGTTGAGTGACTTCGTGTTGTGTTGAGTGACTTCGTGTTGTGTTGAGTGACTTCGTGTTGTGTTGAGTGACTTCGTGTTGTGTTGAGTGCCCTTGTGTTGTGTTGAGTGACTTCGTGTTGTGTTGAGTGCCTCTTGTTGTGTTGAGTGCCTTGTTTGTGTTGAGTGACTTCGTGTTTTGTTGAGTGCCCTTGTGTTGTGTTGAGTGCCCTTGTGCTTGTGTTGAGTGCCCTTGTGTTGTGTTGAGTGCCCTTGTGCTTGTGTTGAGTGCCCTTGTGTGTGTTGAGTGACTTCGTGTTGTGTTGAGTGCCCTGTGTTGTGTTGAGTGACTTCGGTGTTGTGTTGAGTGCCCTTGTGTTGTGTTGAGTGACTTCGTGTTGTGTTGAGTGCCCTTGTGTTGTGTTGAGTGCCTTCGTGTTGTGTTGAGTGCCCTTGTGTTGTGTTGAGTGCCTTCGTGTTGTGTTGATGCCTTGTGCTGTGTTTAGTACTTCGTGTTGTGTTGATGACTTCGTGTTGTGTTGAGTGCCTTCGTGTTGTGTTGAGTGACTTCGTGTTGTGTTGAGTGCCCTTGTGCTGTGTTGAGTACCTTCGTGTTGTGTTGAGTGACTTTGTGTTGTGTTGAGTGCCTTCGTGTTGTGTTGAGTGACTTGTGTTGTGTTGAGTGCCCTTGTGCTGTGTTGAGTACCTTCGTGTTGTGTGAGTGACTTCGTGTTGTGTTGAGTGCCTTCGTGTTGTGGTTGAGTGACTTCGTGTTGTGTTGAGTGCCTTCGTGTTGTGTTGAGTGACTTCGTGTTGTGTTGAGTGACTTCGTGTTGTGTTGAGTGACTTCGTGTTGTGTTGAGTGACTTCGTGTTGTGTTGAGTTCCTTCGTGTTGTGTTGAGTGACTTCGTGTTGTGTTGAGTGCCCTTGTGTTGTGTTGAGTACTTTGTGTTGTGTTGAGTACTTGTGTTGTGTTGAGTGACTTCGTGTTGTGCTGAGTGACTTCGTGTTATGTTGAGTGCCCTTGTGTTGTTGGTTGAGTGCCTTGTGTTGTGTTGAGTGCCTTTGTGTTGTGTTGAGTGCCTTTGTGTTGTGTTGAGTGCCTTGTGTTGTGTTGAGTGCCCTTGTGTTGTGTTGAGTGCCTTTGTGTTGTGTTGAGTGCCTTCGTGTTGTGTTGAGTGCCCTTTGTGTTGTGTTGAGTGCCTTTGTGTTGGTTGAGTGACTTCGTGTTGTGTTGAGTGCCTTCGTGTTGTTTGAGTGCCGTTTGTGTTGATGTGTGTGATGCCTTCGTGTTTGTGTTGAGTGCTTGTGTTGTGTTGAGTGCCTTTTTTGTGTTGTGTTGAGTGACTTCGTGTTAGTGTTGAGTGCCTTCGTGTTGTGTTGAGTGCCTTTGTGTTGTGTTGAGTGCCTTCGTGTTGTGTTGAGTGACCTTTGTGTTGTGTGAGTGCCTTTGTGTTGTGTTGAGTGCTTGTGTTGTGTTGTGTGCCTTGTGTTGTGTTGAGTGCCTTTGTGTTGTGTTGGTGAGTGCCTTGTGTTGTGTTGAGTGCCTTTGTGTTGTGTTGAGTGCCTTTGTGTTGTGTTGAGTGCCTTTGTGTTGTGTTGAGTGCCTTTGTGTTGTGTTGAGTGCCCTTGTGTTGTGTTGAGTGTCTTCGTGATAAACAATGTTTCTCCTCATTGTTGTGTATTAATAAAGACACGGTGTGTGTTTCATAGTATTATATAAACCGCATGTTGTGTCATACCAACATAACTCTCAGTATATTCTACCACTGACATAGAATGTTCTTCATGGAGGAGGCTGCCTTGATGCTGCTCCAGGTCTGCTAAGACACACTGTAGCCTACACGACCTTGAGTGAAACTTGTAAAAGAACTTCATCAGTCATTGTTGATCATTGAGGCATTTGGACAACATCTGGGTATGTTTATTCTGGAAACGTTTCGCCAGCCAGTGGCTTCTTCAGTTCAAAACAAAGAAGAACGGTGAAAAATGAGGATGAGTTTGAGGAAATAAGTCCCTTAGCCTGGAGTCGATGTGTTCAGTCCATCAATGTTGGTAAAAGTGCAACATATCCGCATAGAAGGGGCTTATATACTGCAAACAGATGAGGTGAAGCAGTGGTAGACGGAGTCATCAGTGGTAAAACCGCTAACGAAAGGCCGTGCATGACCTCCTTCACTCAGTGATCAAGGATCGTTGAAGTAGCTCCAGTTATCGATCCAAAGAACTAAAGCAACGTTCCCTTCCCTGAGATCATACCTGATTGCTTCCTTGAACCCAGCGTATGATCAGATTGACTCACGACATCACAATGACATGATTGCAAACAAAACACGGTACTTGTGGGGAGTTTTACGACTCACTTGCCGCGAGTTCAATCCCCTCCCGTACAATGGTTTGTGATCAGATTGGTTTGGAACCACAAATATGAAAGAACAGCAGTGAATTAATTTTTAAGAGAGTAGCATGATATTTACACTATAATTTTCGTCTACTGAGAATTACCTCGTAGCTCTGTGGTAGGGTTGGGCTCACAACCGAAAGGACGCGGGTTCAATATCAGCGAGGCGAGACGCATGAATCTCTTTCGCGCGTGTTGCCCCTGTTCGCCTAGCTGCGAACGGTTTTGGGGTCGCATCCTGGGGGAGGAGCTAAGCCCTCTCCCTCCCCGGGAATGAGTCACACTGCTTGAGTTATCTTGGGTTATTAAACCTCTGGGAAATCCAGGGTAAATAATCCGAATAAATTTTCTCTTACCATGCCTCTCACTGCCACTACCATGAGGGGCTAATGAGGGGTTCTTGATGCGAGGAACTGTAGCTACCCTTCTTGTGCTCCAATCACACCTGATTGTCAGTCATTACACAGGCGTTGTGTGACGTTTACAGGCTTAGCGCTTCCCCGTGACTATATATATAAGTGGACTGGTCTCCCAACGACAAGAACATCCGCTTAAGAGGGAAACCTTATGTCGATGTGGATTGTTCCAGTGAATTCGTGGATTGTTCCGGTGAACTGGTGGATTGTTCCAGTGAATTATTGGATTGTTCCAGTGAATTGACGAATTGTTCCAGTGAATGAGTGGACTGTTCCAGTGAATTGGTGAATTGTTCCAGTGAATTGGTGGATTGTGCCATGGTGAATTTGGTTTTTTGTTTAGTCCCAATATGATGCTGGTGGAATTGCTGTGTCTGCTGGTGTTTTTCATGACTCAAACTCACATAGTGTTGTGTCTGCTGGTGTTTTTCATGACTCACTCACATAGTGTTGTGTCTGCTGGTGTTTTTCATGACTCAGAACTCACATAGTGTTGTGTCTGCTGGTGTTTTTCATGACTCACTCACATAGTGTTGTGTCTGCTGGTGTTTTTCATGAACCTACCTCACCTACAGTGTTGTGTCTGCGAAAGATGAAGTATGATTCATAGCCTTGTCTGTGTTGAGCAAGAGATCGGGAAGAGTAATACACACTAATGTACTGAGATATAAACAGAACCGGCTGCCATTCTGTTATGTCTGAGTTACTGGCTGGGAACTCTTTTGTCCTACCTCACCTCACTTTCGAGTTCTTCCCTACATACCACCCTCAGAAGTCGGCTATCAGGTGTGTGGATATATATTCATACGTCCCGTAGCTTGGTTGGTAGCGCACTCATCTCATACACTGGGGCCTGTGGTTCAATC